CTGATAGAGAGAAGGATCCTTTCTCCCTTTTTGGAGTTCCATAGCTTGCCTGCAGGGGACCCTTTCTGGGGAAGTGGAAGGAAAGCTTAACTGTGAATGAGGCTTCAAGGGTTGATCTATGGCATTCACCTTAAAATTTCTCGATTAAAGCTGTATATTGTGATTTAAACTGACCAAATGATTTTTATTACCTGTGAGCCATCAGAAAATTTTCGGGATCAACCAAGTTTTCATCCAGGGTTGGGGACAGATCTCCGTACCCTGAATCCCTGTGGAGGGGACGGTGGCGGATCCAGGTTTGCCATCTGCTTCCCTTCACACCTCTGTCCTGCTTGTTCTGCAGGTTGGTCTCATCTGAGCCCGGGGCAGCACGCTAGTTCACTGACATTCACCGACTTGTCAGGAGGGTTTGCTCTTTAAATACATTGAGGTCAGGAGGTACACTTCAGACAGGGAAATAGGAAATTAGTAGAAGACCTGAACAAGACGGCAACTTGAAACTGGAAGAGACAAGGGTACTGGGTGTCTGGAAGCCAACTGAAGCCTTGTCCTCTAGGTCTCCAGTTTACTGTAAACAGCAGGTGAAGACTTTCAGTAACTAGAAATGAAGCCTCATTGACTGGCGACTGAAAATGTTGTTGGGGGAGTGCAATGAATGCCTGTCTAGTAATCTGCCCAGCGTGTCTTCTCTGGGAAACCTCTGCTCATAAACAGGGATGGGCCCTGGCAGCCATATTGGTCCCCTGCAGCCCCCATCATCTATGATTAGGGTTAGGCAGGTGATTTAGTCCCTGTGGGTGCAGCTCTGTAACATCATTTCTCTGACACTTGGAACACAGGAGCCAGGAAAGCTGGTTGTCAGACTAGGAGAATAGAGCACACGTATAGAGAGAGCACCTGGTATGGAGAAAAAATTCCATTGAGTTCCTCCTGGCTTTTCAGGTCTGGTTTCTGGGTTTTCCTTAGGACTGACTTATTTTTGCCCTTGGGTTCTATTATACATCTATCTAATCTATCAACTATCTATTATCTATCTACCATGTATCAACTATCTATCTATCTATCTTAGAGATAAGGTCTTACTCTGTTGCCCAGGCTGGAACACAGTGGCACAATCTCTGTTCACCACAGCCTGAAATTCCTGGCCTCAAGAAATCCTCCCACCTCAGCCTCCCGAGTAGCTAGGACTACAGCTGCATACCACCATATCTGGCTAATTTTAAAATTTTTTGTAAAGATGTCTTGCTATGCTGCTCAGGCTGGTCTTGAACTCCTGTCCTCAAGTAATCCTTCCATCTTGGCCTCCAAAAGTGTTGAGATTATGGGCATGGGCTACTGCGTGAAGCCTCTTTTATCTGTATAATGAGTTTTCCATCCTCTATTACTAGGGTGCAGAGATAGCTTTTCAGTGGCTTTGAAGCATTGTGCCAAATATTTCAAAGATCACATTTTAAAATCTACTTTTTGATTTATTTAGTTGCAAATTTTGACTCGTCTGCAAATTTTGACTTGTCTGTCACTAATCAGCTGGATGTACTGAGATACTTGGATCTTTCCTAATGTTCAGCATTTTCTCTTTCTGGCCCTCCATAGTGAGGGCTTGCTCCTTCCCTTATAGGTATCTGATAATGTTGGAGGCTCACCTGCTAAAGAAAAGACAGCCATGCCAAGAAGCAGATGGAAATGCTGGAGCTAATAGAACAGATCACTACTCCAGGGCCTTCAACTCTGCCCTAGTTCTGGTCAAATAGGATTAATACTGCTCACGGTTACTATCCTAACAGGACTGTCATGGTTAATAGCGGGTATTTACTATTTTCAGTGACTTTTGTTGCTGGAATAAAGGAGATGATAATATGAAACAAAAATCAGCCTGCTTCTCCTCATATTTTGATCCACTCCCAAGCATTCAGGATGTTGTTACTAATTAGACATTTGTTTCAATATTCTGGGCCCCTCCAGGCTGGGCAAGCTTGTGATGTGGGGAAAGTTGACTCTTCCTTCATGCAATGGTCTCTATGGCTTTGCATTAGATCCACTGCTCCCTTGCAGGCACCAAATGCTCTTCTGTTGTTTTCTGGGTCTAGAACTCTGTTCCTTTTCTCTGGAGTAGCTCCTACTGATTGATTCTTCAGCTTATTCCTCATTTTTTCTATAGGACAATCTCCTTGGTCCTATAGTACTCCCGATTTTCCCACTGCCAGTACATTAATTGTTTCTCTATAGATGCACCAGAGTTTTTTTTTTTTTTTTTTTTTTTTTTTTTTTTTTTTATGGAGTTTTGCTCTTGTTGCCCAATCTGGAGTGCAATGGCAAGATATTGGCTCACTGCAACCTCCGCCTCCTGGGTTGAAGCGATTCTCCTGCCTCAGCCTCCCACATAGCTGGGATTATAGGCATGTGCCCCCATATACAGCTAATTTTGTATTTTTAGTAGAGGCGGTGTTTCTCCATGTTGGTCAGGCTGGTCTCGAACTCCTGACCTCAGGTGATCCATCCATCTCAGCCTCCCAAAGTGCTGGGATTACAGGCGTGAGCCACTGTGCCCGGCTAGTCTTGTTTTATTCATTGTTATATCCACAGATCTAACCTATTCCTGGTAAATAGTAGGTTGTTCCTAGATCTATTTCTGAAGGACTGGCTTAATGAATAAATGCTCATTTTACTGGTGACTCTGAAAAAGGAAAAAAAAATTAATGATTTTACTCCACTATTAGCAACTTGTTTCTGCCCCTTACAACAGGATACAAACTTCTTATTATTGCCTACAAGGTCCTAACTTCCTCCTCCCACCTGTCTAGTAGCACTCTCTTTATGCATCATGATACCCATGCTGGCTTTCTCTCTTCCTCTAACACGTCACTTTTCTTCTGACTTCAAGGCCTTTGTTCTTGCTGTTTTATCTGCCCTGGAGTTTTGCTAAGTTGGTTTCCTTATTTAGGTGTTGCCTCAAATCTTAGAGCATTTCTCTTAGATCATTTCTCCGTCCAGTATTTCTTTCTCCCTTCCCAAAATTAAGAGTGTCTCCTATCCCTCTGGTCACTGTTTTCTTCTTTGCCCTAATCCCGGTCTGCAAGTTTATCTTTTTATTGGATCATTGTCCATATTCTACTGATAAAAATAGCTGCAAGTCTGTCTTGTTCAAGGCTACAGCTCTGAGTGCTTAGTAGAATGCCTCGATCATTGCAGCATCTAGTATTTGATGATTAATGCTGATTACATGTTTGATGAGGAAATGAATAGAAGAATAATCTTAGACATAAATTATTTAATTTCAGGGAAATAATGTTAGTGGTGGAATTTCGGGCGTTACTGTGGAAGAAACTTTTGAAGGTATTCCTTCCAGTTTGTTCATACTAGGCTAAGTCTTCCTTCTTTTCTTTACACAATTTAAAAATACGACATCTCAAAACTACTTGCTTGAAGTACTTACTTTAGGACACATTTTTAGACTACAGTTTAGAATTACAGTTATTAAAAGGTTTGATAAAAACTCTTTTTGTTAGTCAATAAGTTTACTCTGTCCTCCAAAGAGATTTGCCTTATTCTCAGGAGTAAGAGAGGAAAAAAGAATTTCTTGTCCTCTTTGTACCAGGTGTTTTGCCCTTACTTCTCTTTATGTTTATGGTAACATTCCTTTCCTTCCTTAGGTTTGTTTTTTGTCTATCTCCTTTTTTCACTATTATGTAATTCATGGAGTTGCTGGGGAAGTGCTTAATTTCAAATAGCCTGTTTTAGAATTTCACCAGAATGACAAGAACAAACAGAATGGTAAGCAGCTAGAGAGAGTTAAGTGAGAGTGATCCCTAGGCGAAATATGCTTCCTGCCTTCTAGGCTGACAACAGGCCTGGGGGATGTGTTTTGAGAGCTCACATTACCTTAACTGCAGGTCATTAATCTTATCTCAAGCCCCTCCTTTTCCCTTCATCTTTTCATTTCAAAGTCTGTATCACATCTTGAAGTGTTGTCACAGTGTTGTTTTTTTCTGACAATTCCCTCCATTAGCTGAGCTTTCCAATTTATATTACCTGATTTCTTTTTTTCGTCTTCTGCTTTTTAAACCCCCCCCCCTTTTTCCTAAAGCTTTATTGATTGTGTACTTTGGATTCTAATTCTTCCTATCAGAGTCTTCCTATAATTGTTTGCAGTGTAGTGCTGTCTGCACTATGTGTTGGTTACATGATGGTTACTCAGGAAGAAGTATAAGGGCACCTCGGTCATATCTGTAAAGTTCTTTAAGAGAGGGGGAGGGCGCTGATACCAGTTCATGTGTTTTTGGGTAGCCGTCGGATATTGAGTGTGTTTACTGTATTTTCTTCTATTGCCAAAGAATCAGTTCTCTGGATTTCCTTAAAGCTTGTCTTTACCATTCTCCTTACCCTACTTATTTTTCTATCTAAGAATTTTTTTTTCGAATTATGTAATACATGTTCAATATGGAACACAAAAGGTAATAAAAAAAGTCACCCACAGTGCCGCGAAGGGTGAAAACGCCTTCTGTCTTTCTTCGTGCATAACAGTACCCCTCTCAAGCTTATGCTGCATTTTCAAACCTAGGACATCTCTCTAAATGCAAAGGAAGTTAAAGATTTGTTATTCACCAAGTTTATACGGAAATTAGCGAATCGCAGGGGCGTAGGAAAACTCGCATCTGGCGAATGAACCTGCGTATGCGGGGTTCTCTTCAGGGAGGTTGCTCGTCCACGAAACACACCCCAGTCTGCAGCTACCGGGGAGTGTGGAACCAAGGGCGAGCGAACCGGGCGGGCAGGGGCGGAGCTTGCGGTGACTGCGGGTAGGAGGAGGAGCTACAGAGCTGTCACCAATCAGAGCCCAGCTTTGTTTTCTCTTGCCGACCAATGAGGGAGTTCTGCTGGAGGGGTTGTCTTCAAGTCTGAGACGCCCGCCGCCTTCGCAGCCTATCAGCAGGCGCCTCTTACCCCGCGGGAGGTGCGGCCCCGCCCCGCCTCTCCAGCCGCGGCCCTGCCCCTCCGAGGGTAGGGGCTGTGGAGGTTACTCGCCGGACCGGAGGCGGAGGCCGGGCTCCCACTGGGCTCCAGCGTTCTGCGCCCGCCGCGGCGGTGCCGAGCCCGCTGGCTCCAGATTGTCCTTTGCGGCGGTGGCGGTCGCTGCCTCCTTACCTCCGGGCCCTGGGCTGCAGGGGCCAGAACGAGTGCGCCTCACGCCCGCGGACCGCGGCTGTCCAGAGCAGGTAATGGGGCGCCGCGGGAGAGCGCCTGTGGGAGTCCTGGGTTCGGAGTGGGTGGTGGGGTCGGCTCCCGAAGCTGCTAGCTGAGCGGGCGAGCGGGCGAGCGGGGCCGCGGCGCTCAGGAGCCTCCCGCCCGCCTGGAGGCGCCTCCGCCCTGGAGCCCGCGGCGGGCACCTTGCGGGGAGGTGGGGGCGGGGCCGGGGCAGGGGCTGGGCCGCCTCGGGAGGGACCCTGAGGACCCCTGGAGATCTCTGGGGACCCTTGGGGACACGCGGGACTCCGGGCAGGGGCGGCGGCAGCGCCGACCCAGGGCGGGGAGGACCGGCAGGTGGAGGGAAAACTGCAGAGTTGAGTCAGAGTCTGGCTCCCCGGGGAAAAGAACCGATTGAAAGGGAGCAATAAGCTGGGTGGCTTTTTTTTTCTTCCTCTAAGCCAGAAAGGCGTCTTCACTTGGGTCATGTTAATTATATGTTTTCTGAGAACAGGCGTTTGGGCGTGCAGTCCACACGATAGCATCGTTTATTTACTTATTTTACTATTAAAAACATTAAAAGCAGTCTTTAGCGTGAATCTATTTGGGGGCTTTTGCTTAAGTGACAGGTAGACCCAGCAGAGTAACTCACCTTTGTCTGGGCTGAAGTGGGGAGCGGTGAGGTAGGAATGAGGGGGAGGAGTGTTCGTGATCAATGCCTGTGCAGGTTGGAAAGGATTGTGGGGGTGGAACCTTGTTTCTGTCACCGTGCCGTGGGTAGGAATAGAATTGTGATTTTTTTCTTTTTCTAATTTTTAAAAACAACATTTACGTTTAAAAAAGGGCTCCCTAAAAGCAGTCTCTGGACTGAGGCTTTAGGGATGCACCTGCTTTATTCAGGCAGTAATAGTTTTCAGGTAAATCTTGGGCAATTAATTACGTGATTTGATTTACTTGTAAAGAAGTATCCTCAATTGTTGCTACCTTTCCTTTGACATGGCCAATGTATTGTTTGTTTACAAGTGAATTGATGACGGTCACTGAGTTTTAGTGAAAATGTCACAGCGATGGCCCTTGGAGAGTTTTCTATGCTCAGGTTCACTCTGGTTCTACAAAAACAGTATTTCCATTTACTTGTGAAGCTCATCGCTTGTGAAGCTCATAGCACTCCATCAATTGTATAGTATGTCACCCCCTTATGCGTCTGAGGCAGGCTGTGCATAGCATGCCCATTTTACAGGTATGTAAACTGAAAGCCCTAGAGATGAAAGGAATCCTGCCTCACTTTGTTCCTACTTTATTTTATACTTGTAATGGATTTAATTAAAAAATCCGGATAAGATTCCCGCCATCAAGCCAGCTTCTGCATACCAATTCGATCCCGTGTACACAGGTCAGAGGTGGAGACGGTTATTTTCAAGTAAAGAAATATTATCTCTAAGGTTTTTCTTTCCATTCAGGTTGCTAAGCTAGTTTGAATTTCAGGTGAAAGGCAATTTTCCACACAGGTAAAACAAACAAAAGTTAGTAGTGCTGTGTGAAAATCTCTATTTTAAATTTTGGGAAGCTTTCCGAATTAGAGAACCTTATTTATGTTTGCGTTTCTAGTGCAGTATTGAATTTTGGTACAATTTTTTGAATTGAATTGAAATAAGTGGTATGCAGAAGGCAAATACTAATGAAATGCATTTTGATCCTGACTTATGACTTTGTTTCAGGAAGTGTTTGAATTTATAGACGGGTTGAAAAATAATTTCTTAATTAGAATAACTCGACCAAAGGATTTTGGGCCTTAGTGTAAGACAAGCTGAAATGGGTAGTTGGGAGTAAACTCTTGTGTGATGTTAAGGCTTAGGGAATTTTAGAGAATTGTTAGGTTATGTTAAATTTACAAGTTATCAGGAATGTGAAGGTGTCTTATGGATTACTAAATGGAACTCCTTTTTTTTGAGATGGAGTCTCACTCTGTTATCCAGGCTGGAGTGCAGTGGCTCATGCAAACTCTGCCTCCCAAGTTCAAGCAATTCTTGTGCCTCAGTCTCGCAAGTGGCTGGGACTACAGGTGCACACCATCACATCCAGCTAATTTTTTTGTATTTTTGTGGGCGGTTTCACCATGTTGGCCAGGCTGATCTCCAACTCCTGACCTCAAGTAATCTGCCCGCTTTGGCCACCCAAAGTGCTGAGATCACAGGCATGAGCCATCACACCTGGCCTGAATGGAACTGTTCTAAACATGAAGTTATCTCTTGTTTTGTGGCTAATACCTCTGTTGCATATGTACATTTTAACATATTCATATAACATATAAGGCAACTCTTACACAAGGCTATCATTCTATTTATTTGTGTTTTAGTGGCTTTAACTTTTACTCTCTGTCAAATTAAAATTCCTAGCACCCAAGCAAAAATATTCATAAAGGAACCTTTTATCATCTGTTGATTATATAAAAAATGAATCATTTATTCTCATAAGCCCAGCCCTCGTGCAGTGTGGGACACTGGAAAGATATGTTGGCTGTGTGTAAAGTATTTGCCTGTATTCTTACCTGAAGCTTTGACTCCTCCCCCTCCCCCATGGTTTTCAGAGTTTCTGTGACTTTTTTCTTTTTTTCCACTGGGGGCTGCTTATTGGAGATTTCAAACAGATTTTTGGTTTTCCTTATTATGAACATCTCACTGACAAAGATACAAGGTACTGCAACTGTTTCTCTCCTAACTGCAGTTCAGACAATGAATGACTTAAGTCTTCATTTTATTAAATGAGATTCATTTGGAAGGAAAGGGTATTCCTTCATTTTGAATTTAAAGTGAAGGGAATTGTTAGTGAGGCTTGTGCACTGAAGATACTTTTTTATAAACCGAAGGTTCGTTGGCAACTCTGCACGTCTACTGGCGCCATTCTTCTGATAGTATATGTTCATTCTGTGTGTCTCTGTCATAGTTTGGTAATTCTCACAATATTGCAGACCTTTTCATTGTTATCTTATCTGTTATGGTGATCTGTGGTAGGTGATCTTTGATGTTATTATTCTAATTGTTTTGGGGCTCCATGAACCACACCTATGTAATATGGTGAACTTAATTGATAAATGTTGCATATGTTTTGATATTCCACCAAATGGCCATTCTGCATCTCTCTTCCTCTCTCCAGGCCTCCCTATTCCCTGAGACACAACAATATTGAAATTAGGCCAGTTAATAACTTTACATTGGTCTTTAAGTGTTCAAGTGAATCAAAGAGTTGCATGTCTCTCACTTTAAATCAAAAAGCTAGAAATGAGTGAGCTTAGTGAGGAAGTCATGACAAAAGCTGAGACAGGCCAAAAGCTAGGCCTCTTGCACCAAACAACCAAGCTCTGAATACAAAGGAAATGTTCTTGAAAGAAATTAAAAGTGCTACTCCACTGAACACACAAACGATAAAAAGTATAACAGCCTTATTGCTGATATAGAGAAAGTTTTAGTGGTCTGGGTAGAAAATCAAACCAGCCACAACATTCCCTTAAGCTAGCAGAGCAAAACTGTAACTCTCTTCAATTCAATGAAGGCTGAGAGAGGTAAGGAAGCTGCAGAGGAAAAGTTGGAAGCAGCTGGTCATGGTGGCGCATGCCTGTAATCCCAGCACTTTGGGAGGCAGAGGCAGGTGGATCACGAGGTCAGGAGATTGAAACCATCCTGGCCAACATGGTGAAACCCCTTCTCAATTTAAATACAAAAAACTAGCCGGGCATGGTGGTGCTCACCTGTAATCTCAGCTACTTGGGAGGCTGAGGCAGGGGAATTGCTTGAACCCAGGAGGTGGAGGTTGCAGTGAGCTGAGATCATGCTACTGCACTCCAGCCTGGTAAGAGAGTAAGACTCCATCTCAAAAAAAAAAAAAAAAAAAAAAGCAGAGAGAGAGAGAAAAGAAAAGTTGGAAGCTAGAAGAGGTTGTTTCATGAGGTTTAAGGAATGAAGCCACTTCCTTAACATGAAAGTGCAAGGTGAAGCAGCAAATGCTGATATAGAAGCTGTAGCAGGTTATCCAGAAGATCTAGCTAAGATCATTGATGATGGTGGCTACACTGAACCATACTGTAGATGAAATAGCCTTCTGTTGGAAAAAGATGCCATCTTTGACTTTCTTAGCTAGAAAGAAGTCAATGCCTCATGTGAAAGGCTAGGCTGACTCTTTTGTTTGGAGCTAATGCAGCCGGTGACTTCAAGTTGAAGGCAGTGCTCATTTACCATTCCAAAAATCATTAAGCATTATGCAAAATCTATGCTGCTTGTGCTCTATAAATAGAGCAACAAAGCCTGGATGACAATACATTTGTTTACAGCATGGTTTACTGAATCTGTTAAGCTCACTGTCGAGACCCACTGCTCAGAAAAAAAGGCGTCATTGAAACAGTACTGTTCAGTGGCAATGTACTTGACCACCCAAGAGCTCTGACGGAGATGAACAAGGAAAGGAAGTTAATGTTTTCATACCTGCTAACACAATATCCACACTGTACCTATGGATCTAGGAGTGATTGCACCTTTTAGGACTTATTATTTAAGAAACACATCTTGTAAAGCTATAGCTGCCATAGATAGTGATTCTTCTGATGGGTCTTGGCTAAGTAAATTGAAAACCTGGGAAAGATTCACAGTTCTAGGTGCCATTAAGGGCATTTGTGATTCAAGGGAGGAGGTCAAAATATTAACATTGACAGAAATTTGGAAGAAGTTGATTCCAACCCTCATGGATGACTTTCAGGGGTTCAAGACTTCAGAGGAAGAGGTACCTGCAGATGTGGTGGAAATAGCAAGAGAATTAGAATTAGAAGTGGACCCTGAAAATGTGACTGAATTGCTGCAATCTCATTATCAAACTTGAATGGATGAAGAGCTGCTTCTTCTGGATGAGCAAAGAAAGTGGATTCTTGAGAGGGAATCCATTTTTGGTGAAGATGCTGTGAGCATTGTTGAAATGACAGTGGAGGATTTAGAATATTCTGTAAACTTAGTTAATTAAGCAGTGACAGGGCACGATAGGATTAACT